GATGACAGTTTGGGTCCCCCTGTTTCACTTAACGATGGTTTTGACAGCCTCATGTTGGCTGTTTTTTAAATGTTTAAAAATGTTTAAAAATGTTTAGAATGCTTGAAATCATAAGTGCACTTAATAAACCTTTTGTTAAACTAATTTGACTTTGTTCCGACTCTTTTTTAATTTGTTGTTGAATTTTTCCCCCATTGAGATGCTTTGAATAGGTTTCAATGCATTTCAATTGGGGAACCGCGTTTCGCTTAGCGATGTTTCCTATGGCGATTTTCGCTTAAGGACGGCAATTTGTTCCTATTGGAACGGATTATCCGGTTTTCAATGCGTTTCAATGGGAAACCAAGTTTCGCTGAGTGATGAAATCGCTTAGTAGCATTTTTTTCGGAACGAATTAACATCGCTAAGTGAGGCACCACTGTATTTATTTATATTTTATATATGTAATATTTAAAATCAATATTAAAACAATGCAGAGGATTCCAGATATTTTAAATCTTTAGAACTGCAGATCTCACTCTAGTAATGGTTTAGTGATTTATTTCTTTTGTCGCTGTATAAGTAACATCTCTCTCTCAATCACTCTCACTCACTCACACACACACAGATCTCTCTCTCACTCACTCTCTCTCACTCACACACGCACACACACACAGCTTCGCCTGATTCCAAAAAGATGTATTTGTGGATTTTGTCATATACTGGTTTATCTGTGTTTTGAATCATGTTGTGCCTTTTTGTAGCATACCATGGGAACATTTAATTTAGCCGGCAAATTTTTATTTAAAAGCTTAGGCTGAATGCACATGACCCACTCTGCAATGAGCTCCATCTGAGTACTGCACCATGTTGCTCATTAATCTGAGCTTCTGGCAAGCTATTGTCCCCAATTCACTTTTTCTAGACTAGTGGTTAACTCCTAAACAGTTTACAAATATAGCTTCACACATGGCAGGATGCAAGCCAGGGGAAAAACTTCAGCACAATGCATAGAAATGGAACAGTATGTTGTAGCCAACAATACTGATTTTTTACATGCATTGATTTCAAATATACCCCACTTCCTGCTTCAGAAGAATGTAGTAGCTTGGAGGTACAATATAAAAAAGTGTTTCCCAACCCTAGGTCCCCAGATGTTCTTAGACTACCACTCCCAGAAACCCTGGCCAGCACAGCTAGTGGTGAAGGCTTCTGGGAGTTGCAGTCCAAGAATATCTCAGGACCTGAGTTGGGAGCCAGCGGTTCAAGATATATTAAATACAATACATTGTTGATCTGAGTGCCTGTTTCAAAACAGCAACGGGCACCAAACAATTTCAAAAAAAGCCTAAGATTAGGAGTACATGCTCTCTTAGGAGGGTCAAGTGCCATCTTTCATATTTGTTGGTCGCACAGAGATCACACTAAGAGCTAAAAGGGCCAGTCACCATATTTTAAAAGCACTTATGTACTATAATGTTTGACACAATTGGATTTTTAATTGGTTTAACTAAAAGTACTTTTTTAAAAAAACTAAGAAACCCTTAGTGCCTTCTAATGGTCAATTTTTTAGGTCAAAACATTGGACATATGGAGGACTCCAGCAGTGCTCAGAGTTCCTGAACATATGGCAGAAACACCCCAAGACCCCTACAAGGCAGAAAGGGATTTCTTTAAAATGGATTTTGTGTTTTGTGGAGGATACCACCTATTTTCAATTTGTAAGTCTATTTACAAATGCCAGAAATACAATGGCCCAAATCCTATTTGCTCTTTATGCACATGAAAGAGGGGTTTGTGCTGGGCAAACAACCGGGCATGCCACTGGCACTTTATCAATTAGCTGCAGCAACTCTTCTTTCATTCACATAAAGAACCAACAAAATTTTGCCAGTGTGCATACAAGCAAATCCAAGTTCCTCAGATCAAGAATCTCAAGAAACTCTGAGCCTCAGTGCATGCTGTGGCCCCAAATTTTCCTTGTTTAAAAACACCAAACTATTCATTCATTTCATGAATGCTTAGATACGGACTATGGAAAACATGCATTACGTCTTACTAACAAACACCACTTCAACACCATCTCAAACAAACTTAAATCTTTGCTGTACAAAGATCTGGCCCCGTGTCTATTCCAAGTCAAATTGTTTCTTTAGATTATGAAGTTTAGAGTACTGAAAAGAATCTAGCTATAATCTAAGCCATTTAAACAAACAGGCCTTGGCATATCCAACTGATGGCCCATTTGATACTACCATATCCACACAAACTCAGTCTTTTTATCAACTAACGAAGTAGGCTTAAAGCTCATACGATATCATCATTGTACAAAATCTCCCTTTCTTCCCTAATATTAAGGACTGTGAGGCATTATACCTGCACAGCTACAAACTAGTCTCTCCAAACTGTTGAGAGCCTCTGCATTAGAGTTGTACATGAGAACAGCACCCTAAAACAACATCTTGGCAACATATGGTGCAGGGAAGTGATGGTAAACAAAGCATGAGACAGACAGAAAAAGTTAGTGATTTACAAAAGTCTGAGCTATTGTTTTCTGCCACTGGAAAGACATGGTGATAAGAGGCATAATCACACTCTAGAAGCCTCATCCAATATCAGCTGTTTTGCTTAACATACAGACTAAAGGTCATTCCTATTTGCTAGTGTTTACTGCAAAAATCCAAAGTAATTTTTTCTTCTATGTGTTTTTCAATGTGATCTTGCCCATTTATTTAGAAAGCCCAATTTGTTTTCTGAAAGTATTATGTACAATTTGCATGATTCTGACCCTCAAAACTTTAGTGAAGAAATAGCTTAAATTCTGAACCTCTCTCCTAGAGAAATGTAACTGACCACTCTAGAAAATAGGATGCTGAATTAGATGGACCACAGCTCTCCTTATTAGCTATAATTACGAAATAATGGAGGAGGCCTGATATCATCATGCCTTATTTGCTCCTCTGAATATGTCTAGTTTGTTTGGGGAACTCTCTGTTCAATTCAAGAAAACACTTCTCAACTGTCCCACTGCATCACAAGCATCAAAGCCAGCACTGCTAATCATCCAATTAGCTGTGGGCATGCCCGCCACTCAGGAGATTCAAGATGTGCCTTGGGCTTAAGATGGGCTTATTCCTTACCCTAGTTTAGTCCTCAAAGTTGACATGACCACTGAGATGAGTATCAAACATTTAATGAGAGAGATGTGAATGTTCTAGGCTTAATGAAAAATCAGGAGAAAATGTTGAACATACAAATATATGGACTTGTACTGGGTTATGGTTTACAGCACCAACATCAGGGTTGTCTGTACACTTAGGCATGGCACCTGTCCAGTTATATAAGCTGAATTAAAGAGCATTATTTTAGTGGCCAAAGAGCTCATTTAGACCAGATTCTATATTTGAATTGAATTCTGTATTTTTTACAACAGAGCCTAAGAATGTTCTATCTCAAGCAGCTAACCCATTTCTGAGTCAACGTGGATGCAAAAGTAATTTTAAAAGTTAATAAATAGCAGCAGAGGCACGTTACATCAAAAACTTCTGATTAAAATATAGAAATGCTTTTAACATTTCAGGTTTCATGCCAAATAGGACTCTAAAGCCTATCATTTCAAATTTATCTTTTCATAGAGTGGAAAGAAAAAAATTATTAGCAGGAAATGCAGAAAATTATTCAAAGCTATTTAAAAGTCAGCTCCAACTTGACTGCACATAACTATTTAAAAGCAAAAGCAAAGAAATGACAGGCGTGATATCCATATCAGATGGAAATAGTGTAAAGCTAGGTCAAATGAAGAAACCAAATACAAATGTTAAAAAATGGATTCAGTACAGAATATGTTTAAATGATATTGCAGATGTAACTATGTAACTACTACAAAATTTAACTAGTTACCCATGAAATGTTTTACCTCCATTACAGAAAAGAAACAAAGCTTAACTAAAACCATGATTCACAAACAAAATAGAAAAACATTTGCTGTCCCCATCTTTACTTCAGAGAGTGCTTTTAGTCTAGCTCAGTGGTTCTTAACCTTTGTTACTCGGATGCTTTTGAACTGCAACTCCCAGAAACCCCAGTCAGGACAGCTTCTGGGAGCTGCAGTCCAAAACTCCTGAGTAACCCAAGGTTAAGAACCAGTGGTCTAGCTAATGTTAGGTTGCACCCTCTGAGGGCTGAAACTGGTACATTTATTTGGTCCACTGTACCACTAGGTTTTCAAGTTCTAGGAAAAGCTTCAATACAGAATACCTGCATTAACAGAACAATTAAACAGAATTAACACATGAATTACAACTATGGTCATACCTATGTAAATTGGTCTTTTAAATAAACAGAACTGAAGCCTGTGTTACTGCACCTTTTTTTTAAGTCCAGAAGATACTACAGACAGAGTTGAGGCAATAGTGAAAATATCTCTCACTTTTACAAAGAGATTTGTCCTTCTGCTGGGTGAATAAAACACCAAGACAAACTTATGAGCACATTAATTCCAGCCATGGTCACTTCTCTCAAGTAAACAGAAAAGGTAAACATTTGATTTGTTCAACACAAAAGCCCAATTAAGTACTGAAATTTTTTTATTTGAAACACAAAGGATGACCGAAGGCCTTTAGTTCATGGTACAAGAGAGCACATAAAAAGGGCACAAACTTTAATGTAGTGGCACCTTAATTCCTGCACAGCAACAAGACTGTCTATACTGTACATGACTTGTCAATTGATCTGACATCCCAAGCCAACTGAAAAAGTATTTTTTTCCCCACTTGGGATGCCCTATAAAACTGTTTCCCAACCTTGGGTGCACAAACATTCTTAGACTAAAACTCCCAGAAGCTTTCACTAGTAGTATTGAAACATTTCACTACTCATCAAAGTAGCTTCTTGGATGAGTAGAGAAATGTTTCAACCTAACAAGAAAGAAATCCAGTTGCCATGACTCAATTTCCAGAGAATCACACCTGGATGACTGAGACTCTTCACAGATATATTTCACTAGTAGTGCTAGCCAGGACTCCTGGGAATTGTAGTCCAAGAACATCCGGTGACACAAAGTTGGGAACCACTGTTCTAGAAGATGTCGTAATTTCAGGTACAGCTGTAGTATTACGAAGTTTATATAATGAACTCATCCCCAGGGTGAAAGTGTGATGAAAAATTAATCTTTGACTTTAATCTTTTCAATTGTGCTAAAAGCAATAAACTAAAAACTTCTGAAGCGAGTGACAACAATAGCAACAGCAATCAACCAGCAGATGCTCTATGCCAGCGATGGCGAACCTATGGCACATGTGCCACAGTTGGCATGCAGAGCCCTTTCTGCCAACACACAAGACACAGGTTGCCAAATCACTACTCCCCCCGTGCAGACAAACCTCAGGAGGTGGCTGCAGCTGGTGCTGGCGCTTCAGCAGCTGGATCCGGAGCAACTGGTGCTGGCAGCGGAGGGGCCTTGAGGCACCTCCATGCCGGGATTCCCCCTTCCGCCGCCACTTCTGGGTCCACACTTCTGGGTTCATGTCTGACTCTAGGGGGCGGAGCTCATCCCTGTTTCCAAGCCATAGAGCCAGCATTTGTCCACAGACAGTTTCCATGGTCACGTGGCCAGCGTGACTAGACACGGAATGCCATTACCTTCCCACCGTGGTGGTACCTATTTATCTACTTGCATTTACAGCCTACTGCTAGGCTGACAAGTATATAAACATCAGTCACCAATCTGAGACCCCATCTAACTTCAGGATGGCCTCACAACTATGAGCCATTTGTAGAACAAAGCCGGAAGAACCAATATATTTAAGATGGGTTTCCTTATTTATAATTTTAAGTATTCCACAATAATTTTGTAAGTGTGCTTTATTCTAGTAGGCGTTTGGTTGATACCATTACTTCTGCTGGTTTGACAGATCTCATCATTTTCTGGCTCCTGAACCACTCCCACCTCAACTCCTAAAGTCACTTTTCTTTTGCAGGGTAGTTCGTAGATTTCATTTTTAACCTATGTTTTTTAATCTTAAATATAAGCAAAATTTAAGATTAAATGCACTATTTTCAAATATGTCACAAACCACTGTGTCTAGCACTGTTTGTCACTTGCTTATATTGCAACTTCACTTCTGTTAACTGCTTTCATACAAGCAGCAAGTGAAGGGTTGTAACTATACCAGTAATTCTACAAAAGCAGTAGTTTCTGCAGTTGCTGTAGAAGAGACCACAACTAGATGAACCATGATACCAAGAACACCACTCTTCAGGTAGCAACATTCCTGATAGGAAAATAACCAAAGGACAACACACACAGCCTCAACTTCACTTGCTTACAGAGTTAATTGCAATTACAGTATATTCTTAATCCCTGGAGACAGTAACAAGCTGTTACTATCCTGTATTTATGAAGGATATATATCTATGTCAGGTAACCTTGAAAGGATCTCATAATGAACTTAATTATCTACCACATGACCTTTCTTTTGTACATTTTGTGATTTCTATTTTTTTAAAATATGGCGATTGTAACATTTACACTGCAAATATCTGGGCTAATTTCAAGCCATGTATCATGTTATAAGCTGAAACACTACAGTACTGACATTTGTAACATCCAAGAATGAAGCCCTCCTCAGAAGACATAGTACTTCAATCAAACCCCATTAGATTGCTTCAGTTTTTCCTTCTTCAGTTAAAATATGACAAACCCTGGAGCTCTATCCAAAATTTGTCATATTTTATAAAACCTTTATAATGTTCAAAACATTTTACCAGGATGCTCAACTGATAGTTAGCATTGTTTGGAACCATGCGATTTGCTTCAGAAAATGCACTGCCATTGGTTGGATCAACTCCACATGTCTGCTTTTCACAGCACATGCCCAGAGACCTTCGGGTAGTGTGGGCGGCATATAAATTAAATAAATAAATAAATACATATGGCAGCTGCCATCAACTGCCCCTTCTGCAATGCAAAGTTGTGCCTTTTGCCCCTTGCTTGCACTAGTTTAGTTATCTGAATGAGGAGCCAGAGGTTAGGAATTCAACTGCCTACTGTGCCTGCTTCATAGGGGCTTGATCTGATTAACCACAAAGTTCCTTCCAATTCTGAGATCATTATTATTCTATTCTAAGGTTGACATATGGAGGATCATGACTTGCACATCTCCTGGTGGAGAGCTAGATCTAATGGCTCATGAGTTTCTTCCAAAGGAATGTGCATCTTGCTGTAGGTCCAAAAGTGGAGGGGGGGGAGAGCAAACAAAGAGAAGGGCAGAGGACTTTTTAAACAGCAAAACCATAAGAACTTATGGGAGGAGAGATCACTGCTCACAGTTCTGCTATTAAGATATCCTGCCCCCACCCGGAGGGAACAAACCTCTGAACACCAGACACTGGGAAGAAACAAGAGAACAGGTATTCACTGCGATTCCCCACCCAATTTAAGAACATTCCACATGGCAGCATGTAGGATGGAAAATGCGAATCCAGCAAAGCAATTCCATAAAATATGTGTATGCATATCTGTGTGTGTTTGAAAGCATCTGGAGAGGGAGGGAGGGAGAGAAGGAAAAGGAGGACAGAAAAGCAAGCAGGCCACAGATTAAGTTCACAGCCACAACATTTCAAGGGCGGGCAGCAGCTACCTTTTTTTTGGGCGGGGCG